GACAGCTCAGGGGACACACACACCAAGGGCACAGGGCAGTGCTCCTGACCGAAACACCCGGCTCCGGCTTCAAGACTCCCAGCAGGCTGTGGAGGACGTTTCAAGAAAAACCACACGAGCGAGACCCAGTCCCAGGGCACTGCCATCACCGCCGCCGCCCCCAGGGGGGCAGCGATGACCAGCTGTGAGGTCAAGCAGGTGATCGGGACTTTCTGGGCAAAACCACAGTGGGGGGGGGCAGTCACCATGAAATGAGGAAGAGCTCTAAAACGAAAGTGCTGTGGGGGGGGGCCACACTGCCGCGGGAGCACAAGAGGATGAGGGCAGCCAGCCAGCAGGCAGGATGGGATGGAGGGCTGTGCCTGTGGATGGGGATGGGGATGGGGACAGCGCGGGGATGAGAGGAGAACGGGATCGGGAATGGGATCGGGCCAGCGGCAGCAGGAGCCATGCAGGTGGGACAAGGAGGAGGAGGAGGAGAGGAAGAGGAAGGTCCACAGTTACCTTTGCAGGGCAGCTCGGCCTTGGCGGACAGCTGTAGCTGGAGGAGCTCCTGCCTCAGAGAGCCTGCGGCCGCAGCAGAGACACCGGGAAGGAAAACACCGTTAACAGGGGTTCGAGGGGGGGGGGGGGGGGGGGCATTTATATTGGCATCATACAAGCCGTTCGTTCATCGCTCTAGGCTGAAACGTGACCCGCTGTCCACTTCAAAGACCTTATGGTCGTCTCTGTCTGGGGCTCACCAGAACGACCGAGGAGATACAGGACGAGGGGGGGGGCGGGGGTGAGGGAAGGGGCGTTTTCAAAGGATCCTGCTTTTCGGATCAAACTGAATCCATATCCTCAAGTTTAAACGGGAAACTCGGATGACCGCGGCGAGACCGCCCCTGCTGAAACGGCGCAACGCGTAGGCAGGAAGCTGCGTTTGTGTGGCCAAGGGAGGCGGCTACCCTTTAGCAGTAGCACACACAGCTGTTCCATGACGGACGGGACATCCCGGCCCGCCGCTGTCACAACACTGCGCGGCCACGTGAGGGGGCGGGGCCGCGGCGGAGGGGGCGGGGCGCGGCGGAGGGGGCGGGCTACCCAAGCCACTCCCCCACACCACCAGCCCTTTTAAAGCACCCCTTACAACAACAAACACAAGCCTGGAAAAGTTACAAACGGTGCGCGACGACTTCCGATCTTCCAGATTTTTTCGCACACTCGTTTCAGTGAGTCTCCCTGTTAGTACGGCACTACGCCTATGAGCAAGGTCTATTCCATGCTGGAAAAAAAAGGGAGAAAGAAAACACAACGTTTCGGCCGCGAAGCCTTCTTCGGATGCGAGGACTCGGCAGGGAATAAACCTTTACTTGTCCCTTTGCAGCCTACGCAGGCTGACGCAGCTCCCCACCTGAACTACTACGCCTGTGATACGCATTACAGGAGTAGAGCACTGAACTAACATCAAACCTCGCACAAGTGTTGCATCACGAACATATAACATACATCACTTCCCCCCACGTCCGATCCCAAACAAGAAGGCGGAACGAAATCCTGCCCCAACTTGGGCTTTAAGACACTAAGGCTCACTCGGTTGGTTTCAGGAGGCTACTTTAGCGAAGACAGGAGTGGACATCTCACACGCAGCTGACCGCAGCCCGAAAACCGTCAACTGGAAACGTGACGTGACCTTGCGCCCTCCTGGACCCGTGACGTCACGCACCCCGGCACCTCGCGGCTCCCGGATCCGGCCGGCTCGCACGCCCGCACGCGCCCTCGGACCGCAGCGACACGGTCGCCACGCGGTGACCCCCCCACCCCCGGCAGCTGGGTCTCCCGGCCAGCTTGCCTTGGCGCTGCGTCTTAAAGTCCTCAAGCATTTCAAAAGTCCACCATCGCCTCCTTACGACCCCGACAACCCCCCCCCGCCGCCCTGCTGGGGTAAATCCCTTTTGCGACCCGCACATGCAGCCCGGTAGCTCCACGAGGAGCTGCTCAGCCACTACCTGCAGGCGACGCCCGCCGCAGACCAGCCAGCAGCGATACAACACGCCACCCGCACGCTTCCCCCCGGGGGGTCGGCTGTCGTGCGGGAGACCACGACCTCTGCACGCCTCGTACGGACCCCCAGCTCCCCGCCACCGCCGCCGCCGGACTCTCCCCCCCCCAACTTACCCCGGCTCACAGCCGAACGCTTCCCTCGCTTGTTCCTCGGCATGTCCCCCGGCGGCTCTCGGCTTGCCTGAACTCCAACCCGGCCTCCGGGCTGGGCTGGGCTGGGCTGGGCTGAGCTGGGCTGGAGAGGCGCGACTCGCAGCTCAGGGGGCAATTCAAACCCTTTTCCAACCCCACCCCTCAAAAAAAAATACCACGCCGACCGCCTGGCTGCTGCTGCTGCCGCCTCGATCAGACACAGCTCTCCCCTTCCCGTCTGGGATCCCGATCCACACGTTTCAACTCCCAAAAAAAACACAGGGGTAAGACGTGCTTTCTTCTCCCGCCGGTTTCTCGGCTCTATTATCTGTGATTGTCCCCGGGCAGTCTATACCGGATCCCTGGTTGCGAGGGCAAGTATTTTTCGGAGCGTTTCGGACGGAGTATCGTGCACGCCGCTGCTCCAAGATCCACCATCTTCCCCCCGGTAGCGACTCCACACACCCCGGCTCGCTCGCTTCACAGAGCGCCGCGGCCGGCGGGGGCTCCTGGGAAGTGTAGTCGCGAAGAACTGGCAAGGAGAGGGGGGCTAGAAAAACTACAACTCCCACCACCCACGCAGGAGAGAGGAAGGAGTGCGACCCGGGAACTGTAGTCTTTCAGTCACACGCAACGAAACTCCTGTACATGGTCCCCGTTTTAGTCCACAAGCGTGGAGGGGAGAGGTGGAGTGAAACTTCACGGGGCATTTCCACGGTGGAATATACCTCCCTGTTGTGTATTTTTCCTGCGTGCTGTGCTGTGTACCTTCGTTAACCAGAAGGGACCCCAAGACTTACAATAAAACATTCCGATAGGGGACAAAGTTGTGTGAAAGGCACTTTTAAAAACCTGGGTTACATGTGCACGCACAGACCTTCAAAAGATTTATATAGGCAGTCAGGCAAGTAAACATTGAACTTTAAAACCCTATAAAGCAGGTGGAGTAGGAAAGGCTGGTGTGTCTCTGATTCCTGTGGAGTCTGGGGGGTGGAAGGTGAGGAATTGACTGGTTACAATGTCCTTGGTGATCAGAAGTATTCTGATGCTCTTTGCAGAATTAAGAAGAAATAAAAAGACCCAAAAAACTAAATAGGCGAAGCAGACTAATTACATGAGGGTTTAAAAAACACTTTGCCGTCCAGATTTCTTTTTGAACATCTCCCTTCTTCTGGGGCAGCTCTGCTGTGGGTCTTGGGGTGGTCAAGGCCTCTAGACTCCCACCCAGCTAAGATACTGACCCTCGAACCCAAGGTCAGCCGTCAGAAGACACAGAAGCCCAGAGTTTCTGCGGTCTCTGTAAGAGCAGCCGCCGACGAGACGGTTTCACCAGGCAAACCAACTGACCGCCTGGGACCAAGTCAGCATCATTTACAACAGCGCCCTCGAACCCGGGTCCTGTGGAGCCCCCTGCCTAGTCCGACAGGTCACGAGAGACCATGAGAACCGAGGAAGGAACGCAGGGAGGGAGGGTTCAGCGAAAACCCACATGAACACAGAGGGAACATGCAAACTCCACACAGACCGGCAATCTGGGAAAGAATAAATAACCACAAAACCCACACTCCCGGAGCCTAAATCTGTCACGTGCGGCGCAAGAGTTCCTTATCAAAAAGTCTTAGAATTTCTTAAATGTGACTGCATTATCATTCTGAATGCAACAGACGTACGACTTCAAAAAAGGATTATCTCTTTATTTCATTAGATTCCAAACCTATAAATGACAAAATATTGGAAGAGCACAGTAGTAAAACATGCAATTATTAGTAAGCATCATCTTTAATGAAGAAAAGGGTTATATTTGCTGCAGGTTTCTAGTGGCTTCTGTTGTGTGGGATTCAAAACTGATTTAAAACAGAGAACAGGAGGCACGTCTTTACGCAAAGGGTTGTGGGTGTCTGGTACAGCCCAGCGGACTTCAGGATGAACAATGAAATAAAGCAGAGAACACAGGTGGAAGCTAGAGAGACATGAATTTAAAAAACCAAACACAGGAGGGCCTTCTGTACTCAAAGGGGGGTGGGAGTGTGGAACAAGCTGCTCTGCCAAGTGTTGAAGTTGACACCCAGGCTGCTCTCCAGCTGGATGAGATCCTCAGAGGAACCAACTGGTAAAGAGCTAGCTGCTAGCTCGTCAACTGCTAACGAGTGAAACGACGCCTCCTTTGATCTGTAACCCTTCCTCTGAAGACCTGAAGACCTCCATTCCAGCTGAAGAGAGACTCCGATAGGACACCCAAAGAAGGCTCCCCAGCCGAAACGTTGTGTTTCTCTTCTTCTCTTTTCAGCAGGGAATAAACCTATTACTTGTTCCTTTGCAGCCTACCCATGCTGACGCAGCTCCCTACTTGAAGACTCCCACAAACAGGTCACCAATTTTGCCGCCTGTGTACCGGATACTTAGGAAAAGAATGAGCAGTTTCTGGGGACAAGAAAAGATCACAGAGTGCTGGTGTTCAGGTCGCTTTTCAGGAAGCGCAGATCTAGAGGAAACCCAAGGTGGAATGGAAACTGGAGGAAAAGCTGCTTATTCCCAGAAAAACCCAGAGCCCATCCTGGAAGCAGAGGGCACGAGGCAGGACAACTCCGACAGGTGCCAGCTCTGTGGGTGCTGGGTGTGTTCAAGCATCCCGATATGTGTAATCGCACTGCAGCTACAGCAGGAACAGAGCATTTGTACTTTGTCCGTGTTTGGGAGATTACCACAGGACTGCACTTCCAAAACACTCAATAACAATTGTCACTCCCCAGTCCACTCATCTGGTCATTGCGATTCCACCGATTTATCATTTTATGTCCTGTCGGTGAATCACAAGCAACAGAAGACTGTTCTCAATCTGTGTCTGTGCGGGACACCTTGACAAGAGATTCTCTGACCCTGAAGACGGTATATAACTCCTTCCCCTTAACACACCCTTCCTGTTGATGAAGGTTTTATTCATGTAGAGAAATGTTAAGGTAAGGCACGAGCTGGGGATGGGGGCATGACAAAAATGCTGTGTAAACAGAAATACTTGAGAAGACGAACTCCCCCGATAAGTTCGAAGAGCAGATAATCACGACTGCACCCTGGAAGAAAAGCCAGTCCATCACAGGGGCACGCATACACCCTGCTCATCTAGAGACACCGTTCAGCCAGTCCAGCATGCCTTGAAAAGGCAGGACAGATCCCATGCAAGCACAGGGAGAACACACAGACTCCAGCTGGAACGAGCCCTGGCTCCAGAAACCAAACCAGGGAGCAAGATCTGGGGAGCCAACTGCCCCCTCGTGTCACCTCAGGACTTTCCACTGACTCAGCAAGCGCCGACGACCGCAGCTCATCCCAGCTGGCCGTTCGGGCAAGCGGTCTTTGTGAGAAAGACAATAGCGCGCTGATGCACGAGCTGACCTGCAGAGCGGGCAGGTCAATGTTTCAGGTCAGGGAACAGCTGCACAGAAGGTTTCGCTGTCCCTAGAGATGTGGGTAATACAAAAAAAATCAAAACCGCAGTTTGTGTTGTTAGTTCAAGAGCGGTCAGGATCCCCTGAGGTGAACACCTTCACGCTGACGAACAGCCTCTGCCTCTGTGTTGCTTCACCTGGATTCCCACGTTCAAGTGTAATCCTCACAATGCAATGTGATTTGTGGTCAGGGAGGGGAAATGGTATGCAGCAGCTGGTGAACATGTGAAAACGTGACACTTCCTAGCGCCAATCCTGAGCGGTCTCTGAAAGCCCCCCCCCCATCGGACCGATCTCATCACAGGAGACGCCCTCCTGATGACCATGCGCGGGAGCGAAAGTGACCAATTCTGCAGCGCGGCAGCCCACGACGCCCCAGGACCTCCAGGGCACACCCGCTGTCCCGCAGACGCCCGCACCTCCGCGCAACAACGGCTCTGCTCTTCAGGCGCTCAGTTGGAACTAGAGAAAATAAGACTCTGGTCGAAGTACAAAAATATAGAAAGATTTGTTTTTTTAAAAAAAAATGGTTCTTCTTTTGGCCGTAAAGGTTAAGTCTGTGGTCAGTGCGTCTGGAAAGTCATCAGCGCGCGGGGAGGGTGCTCGTTGTCGCCCACCCTCTGGAGTCGAGATGCGCCAGTTTCCAGAGCTGCCGGCACACACAGACCTAACCCCCAGGGCCTTTGGAGACGGGCCGCTTTCCCAGTGAGGCACCACGCCCATGTGGACTGAACCGGCCGAGGAACTGGGCGGTTGGGACGCGGGTAGGGAGGGGAACGCCGTCGTGGGGGTCCGCGGTCCACCCGGGCGGCCCGGCTCGCCCCACAGGTGGCCACCCCCCCGGCCTACTGGCCCGTGTAGTACCGCGTGGGCACGAAGGGCATCTTGCTCACGGCTGCCTCCACCGCCTTCTTCCTCACCTCCACGCGCAGGGGCGTGCCCACCTTGCTGAGCTCCGCCTCCACGTATCCCATGGCGACGTTCTGCTTCAGGCAGGGGGAGGGGCAGCCGCTGGTCACCTCACCTGGGGGAGGGGCAGGGAGAGGGCAAGAAGGATTGACATCTCCTGCATTGTTTCAACACACCTCTGCACAGCTCAGGGAGGTTCATTAATTAATAATTAACCCCTTGTAGCAATATCTGCCATCGCTTCCTTCTTCAACTGGAATTGCTCTGTTTCAGGTTTTACAGCCTAAATGGCTTTGCATATAAGCCCAGCCCAAGTGCTGGATGTCTCAAAGAAATATATGGATAGACAGTCATGGAACTATTTTTTCTTTCTTGAAAGAATACAGCAAATGCCGTATACACAGCTCAGTCAGAACACCCGAGAATGGTACATTCCTTGTCATGACAGGCCTCTGCCACATTGCTGAAGGCAGCAGCACACCCGGCTAATAATGTGACGCCCGGCGAGAGCCACCTGGGTTTTACAGGCAGT